ACAATCTTTTCACATGTAAATGTTATGTAAAACAGCCCTTGAAAAAAGCACAGAACTACAACGTTGGAAACGAATAATTATTTTTTTTTTATTGTGACATATTGAAAACTTTTCAATTGTCAAAAATGCTTTGTCTTATTAATTAGAGGACACATTCATACTTACGAGACTTACTTGCTTGTCGTGAGTGTGAGTACAAACATTCTTGATTGAATATTTTGAAATTTTGTTATATCTTTTTCTTTTACGATATCAGTTGAGTTACTGAAAAGCAAATTATTTAATGTTGTGATATTTTATTGGTCCAACAATACACGGAAAACGTAATTATGACATTTTATACAATATTCAGAATCATTATATTTTAACGTTTAAAAGTTTTATATTTATTCTCGTATCTTATGATTTAATGAGAACTTGATATTCTAGAATATTTTACGCTAAATTAACTTACAACATATATTAAAATATAGTGTTTATAATGACTTAAAATCATGAAAAATATGCTCACTAGGTTCCACACATCACAGGTACAATTCTTAAATAATGGACAAATTATCTTATTATTTCTGTAAATTATATAAAACATGTTTTACATATTATCGAAATTGATTAATGTCGAAACAAAAAATGAACAATAGTTCAATAATACACTATCTCCCCAAAAAAAGATTCTCCAGGAACACAATAATTTTAAACCACATCTACAGAAAAAGGTTTTCACGAGTATTTAAAACATTCTGAAACATTAAATATATTATACCCAAATAGAATATATCTCACGTAAACATTATAAAACGTTATTGTTTTGAATGTGTAACTCGTCTTTTTTGGCATACTATCTTTACCTACTCTTCATTAATCATTAAGTGGATATCTAATTAGAATGATATAATATATGCAACTTAATCATTTCAAGTTTATAAAAAAACCAAACAGTTATATATTAATGTAACATTTAATTTTCTCTCCAGTCAATAAACACAAAATTTTCATCCTGTTTGATATATATATAGAGCGATGCTGAAAGTTCAATAGAGATGTCGTGCTGTTAGTACAGTCAGAGAATATTGCTATGTTGGACATTTTTGCATTATATTTTCCCTAATTTGAATTATATTCATAAGAATTAAATGATGAATATTTTTTGTGTAAAAATTACTTTGATTAATATTTAAGATATTAACTTTTTCGGTGTAATAAAAATTCAGTAATATCTATCATTTTTATTGTTCTTGGTCTCATAATCATTCTAAAAGTTCTACATCACAATAATGAAAGATGATAAGCACAAACTGTTGACTTATCCTAGATTTGCCATGATTTTTTGATGAAATATTAATCTTTTTCATTCACTTGCACATTGTTTTTAAATATTGGGCCAATTGCGGTAAAAATTATTTATTAGCAATTACAACTTCAGATGAATTTAATTTAAATTGATACTAATGTATGGTCAGTATTCTTTTTGTGTTACCTGCATAATTACAAATTGGTGTTCTTCTTTTGAAGCAAATATTCTGAATAAAACTAAAAGAACACAATAATATAATATGATTAGAAGCTAAAGCGATAAGTTCATATATAACGATTATGTGCTTGAAATATGATATATTTATGCGTGTTCACGAGCTACTTTTCAGCTGGAATTTCAGTGAAATACAAACAATCATTAATAAAGTGAAATTCTTTTAGTTTTTTTCAAGATTTTTTATTTCTTTTTACATGAAGTTACTCTATATTGGTTAAGATAGAAATCAAGCTATGCAAATTTAGAATTTGAAACTAGAAGATTATAATAATTTTTTTAAGCTATAAGCACAAATAAAATCCTTATTAATGTTTTATCATTTTTATATAACATTATTACAATATTTTCAGCTTACCATTCACGATTTTCAATGCATCCATTTATTCATTTTGTTCCCTTTTAAATTAGTTTATCATCTTATTTTACCCTTCTCTTTTCCTTCAGCTCCTTCAATTAGTTTCATCCACCTTTTCTGTTAATGAATATCATTTCCACCTTTCATTCTCACATATACTCTTCGTTACTTGTCTTTTTTGTTGCTGTGTAACTTTTTTTTTCGTCTTAGTTCATTATTTACTCATCTTTCGCTCAGTGTTTCCAAGATTGATCCTTTTAGTCTTACCTATCCCTCGCTTTTCTCTAACGTTTCGTTGTTTGCTTGACTTAAGTCCTTCGCGACTTATAAATTTCTTGCTCTACTTAGTTCCAGTATGCTATTTTTTATTTCCTACTCTTAATATTTCAGCATAACATACCTCATGCAAAAAAGTTATACAAAACGCACACTTCAACTAAATACACAAATATAAGAATATAATTGTAAACATTTTGTGCAGTAGTTGGTAAAACAGAACATCAAGCTGTTAGTACAACAAACAACATTCATATAATTTTGGATATACATTATACACGTTCAGTGAATTTTAGTCACATATATTTCCTTTTTTTTCCTTTGAAATTACACAGTAAAGATAGTATGATATCGCTAGTTTGATCACTATGTCTATTTTTACACTTCAGTATTATAACATAAGAAAGTAAAGTTTTCACAATGAAAAATGCATAATTCCGGTAATGAACAAAGGTACCAAACAAGACAAAGAAATGTTATTTGGAAGTATTTACACTTTATATGAATTTTATTTAAATAAATCTCTGAATAATGTGGTTGATATGCTGAAGACACCGACAACTGAGAATATAAAGTTAATGTGTCTTGAGGATGAATATATTTTGTGGTTAAAAACATCTCTAAGATCAGGAAGTCAGACAACGTACTTCTTGAGATTGGGTAAAGTACCTCTGAAGAATATAAAAACTGGCTAACAAACTACAGTGAAATGTGTAAAACGACTTATACCTGGGAAAAGGTTACTTTTGTGTGCAGTTAGTACATTTAATGTGGTGTCTGAAAAATATTTTTTTTATTTTACAGAGTCTTATTGGATGCGGAGATTATTTGGTAAAGAGATTTTTTTATCCTAGTATCCAGTGGCTTCTGATATCCTGGTATCCAGTGGCTTCTGAAACTCAAAAGATGCGGTTGATTTTTCCATTTTAAAATTCAAACATTACCGCTGATACGCTAAGTGACTCTTGAAAAGTAAATTGCCTTTGTTTGATTCATACAACTGAAAACAAGAACAACAACAAATATTTGAGATAATAAATAAAGCTCGAAATCATTTGGAATAAATGGTTAATAGCTATCATTGTAGTGGAAAGCCTGGTTACTTTTAAGCTTAACAAACACGTTCTGATAGCTTTGGTCCGGCATGGCCAGGTGGTTATGGCGCTCGACTTGCAATCTGCGGGTTGCAGGTCCGAATCCCCGTCACACCAAACATGCTCGTCCTTTCAGCCGTGGGAGGTTATAATGTGACGGTCAATCCCATTAGTTGTTGGCAAAAGAGTAGCCCAAGAGTTGACGGTGGGTGGTGATGACTAGGTGCCTTCACCCTAGTCTTACACTGCTAAATTAAGGACGGCTAACGCAGATAGCCCTCGTGTAACTTTGAGCGAAATTCATAACAAACAAACAAACTGATAGCTTTTGGGCACAGCGTTTTCCTAGTGGATTAGTGGGGCCGGTCTGGAGACCGAAAACTCTGGACTTCGAGATGTGATGCTGCAGAACACGCTTTTAATTTTCAGCCGTAAGCGCGTTATAAAACACACAGTCAACTCCGTTATTCGTTTCCAAGAACCAGACAAAGCTCTTGTGGTAGCCAGTTTTACTTGTTCGCTGCCCTCCGTCTTAGAGGATGTGACAATGTACACAAAAAGTTACAGGTCTTAATATTCTGTAAATCAAACTAAAGTCTGATAATTTCACCATTATCACCATTACACATCACATAGCATTATGTTATCATACAATCTAGTCTCCTAACTTCACTATTAAACCCTTTCCCAGGTCGTAACATTAAGTCGTAATTCAAGCTAACTTAATCTTGTTAGCTGTTGTGTTTCAGGCGTGTCGATTAATATAACAGTCTCTTTCTGCTGCCTCAGAATTTGTTTGTAGAACTAAGTAAGGGCCTTAGCATGTTTGGTCAATTTACTAGACCGATAGTGTTATAATGTGTAACAGCTAACCCTAAAATATATCAACCATGTTTATCAACATTCACACTAAAATCATATCAATCACGATTGTTACTTTTCTTGTACTAAATAACATGTATACCCACTCCCTTTTGCCATTTAAGATTAAAAATGATATCTTTAGAAAACAAAATACATCTAACACTATTCCATGTGCCTTTCCTTGTGGAGATGGAACATCAAAGATATCTATTATCTGAGAAACCAATCACCATTCTAAGTAAAGTTCAGAGTCAAATTCAAAACATAATGGTTAACAGAAGAAGACAATAACTAAACGTTAGGTAATGATTATTATTAACATGTTTTAAATAATGTAGTCTTCAAACTAAAATTGTTAGCGCAATTCCACGCGTACTTCTTCAAGCACATAGTTACGAAATATAGAATAAAAACACTTATTTTTCACAAATGAATCTTTTTTTTTATGGATAATATAGTTCTTTGACTAATGTTGTTAGCACAGTTCCACGTGTAATCTCTTCAAGTCACATGGTCTCGAAATAAATGAGTCTTGTTCTCACAAACTCGCAAATATGGAAAGAAAAATCACTTTAACACATAAAGTTGCGTACGTATACCGCTAATGGTAAGTTCAATATAAATTTATAATTTATATTTTTGTAATAACATTGTTTTCATTATTTCTAAGAAATCTTAGCTTCATGAAGTATGAATTAAAATGAGTTTCTGAGTTATAATTTCGGTGTAACCTTCTTTAACATACATGTTTTCTTTTTTACGAAAGAAACAAAAATGCAAAGCTTTATTTATAAATATATTTCGTTCTTTTACAGGACTCTCATAACTTTCTATTTTAAATTTCAATAATGATTTTTGAACAAGAGCTGTTGTTCTGTGATATTTGGAAGTACATTTTGTTCTGATTTTGAACGTTGTTTCTTGGCGTGATAATGGAAGAAACTTAATGTTCATCTGTTACACGTAATCGCATAACATACTTATTCAAAGAAATAGTTATTTTCACAAGCGCTTTAACATTTCTTGTGGAATCGTTATCATTGTGCCATTAAGCAAGATTCAAAATTATTTAGGTAGGTACCAGTGTAAAGAGTTTACGAAAACACACCCATTTCGAGTGGCTTTTCGCAAGATTCGTTGAGATAACATGAGACTGAGTGAAACCGTTTGTGTTTCTGGTGTTCTATCCCTGTGTAAAGTATATTCGGTGGTAAACTTTGAGAATCAGTTAAAAATATGTCTTGATGACATCTGCTTATTGTTGATACTTGGTGGCCAAGTGGTTCTTCCAATTTTTGCTTCAACGAAGGATACTGGAGGGAAAAGCTACTTTCATCAGATACGTGTGACGGAATGGGAATATTGAATGATTCTTTTTGCTTGGCGAATTTATTTAAAACATACAGACAAATAATTTTTTTCTTTAATTCGGATTTGAAGCGTGGGTGGCTTAAGCCGTAAAGAAATGGGTCTACAACAGAAGCTGTTTTACAGAATAAGGCTGGTACCATTGAGGTGGTGGGTGTAAGTAATTGGTAGTTGAAGGAGATGCCGAACAATGCAACCACGGCGTAAGGTGTCCATGATATCATCCACAAAGAAATTAAAGAGACAGATATTTTCGCTAATTTGATTTCCGTGTTTCGATGCTTCTGAATGTACGAGCGTTTGGAGTTTATTTGAGATACGGTATTACGAAAAAGCTGTTGATTTCTTCTTACAGTGAGGATTATTCCACAATAACTCACACAAATAATCACTAGGGGGACACACCATGCCGCGATAAAAAATACTAGAACAAAGAGTCGACTCGTTAGATCTCTTGCTAAATAATCAAAACTACAACTACTTAGATAGCCCTCGGGAACATATCTGTTCACGTGAAATAAAGGTAAGACACTGAAAATGAATGCATATATCCACACACATATCACAATTGTTGATGCTCGTGCTCGAGTCATCCTCCCACTGAGGTCTAGAGGACGTGAAATGGAATAATATCGTTCAAAAGCCATTGCAGCAATGGTCATGATAGCTGAAGTTCCAGTTATACCACCCAGAAAGCCGTACAACTGGCAGGCTACAAAGAGTAAAAGTAGAAATTATTAAAAATTAGTTCCATATTTTAGAAGAACAAAATCAGTAAAAAAACAAAACGGACATTTTTCTCCACTTAAACTACTCGGAGCAAAACTGATATTCGCTTAGAAAACATTGTTTATATGAGATATAAACTTTCTTAACCATTTTGATACAATTTGAAAATTAATGTATGGTCGAATTAATGTTAGGTACTGGACATCTGATGTTTTTCTTATCGGATGCCTCTGTAACTTGTAAGTGGATAAATATTATAGAGATTGAGAAGAAAAAAAAGAATATTTTGCGGTAAAATAGCTAAACTATAAGAGCCATCAAGCTATTCATGAATAAAACTGAGATTCTTTTAAGCTATAGATAATAACTTATTTATAAGCATAAGTAGCATTAATAAGTTCCAAATATATAGGTGTGTGTATATGTGTCTATGTATATAAGCATAGCTAGAAAGTAATGTAAGAAGATTTTATAATAACGTTAAATCCTTTGATTGTGGCCGTTTCTGAAAATGAATAGCACTCCTAAGAGTATAGAAAATACTCGTAACGTTGGACCAAGCGTGACCTGGAGGCTAGCGTGCCAAACTTTGAATCGGAAGGTCCATGGTTTATGTGCGACGGGTGCGATATAAGTGGTGCGACGGATGCGTTATATTCCAGCTTAAAATTCAGGAAACTAGCGCAAAACCCTTTGCAGTTTTGTGAGAATATACGAAAGAAAGAAATTTTTGGGGTGTGACTTGTTGCAGGTCTCTTTCTTAATAGTCCTGATACCCCAAATTGCTTCAACATTCTTTTGGCTTCCAGTGTCATTAAGTACCGGAGATATCCCAGTCCTGGAAATTCTAAATATCCTATCTTTATGATCTGAGTGTATGAATAATTTACGTCGGAAGGGTTTAAGATAAGTGCGTTTGGCGTTTATGCGGAAACGGGCCGCAAATTATGAACTATCGGATTTACAGTTTGGACACGCTAACTGAAGGACACGCCCAGCCCATTTAAATCTAAATTATACAAATATTTAAATATGATATTTTCTGTTCAGTATAATCACTAAAAATTAAACGTTGTCGTTCAAATTATTTAACATTCATTTCCTTTTTACGTAGCAAAAAACTTTCGTTTTGGAACATTGTAGCTTTGAAAACAAAAACGATCTACTTAGCCTAATATCCTATTACACTACCATTCATAGTGTTCCAATAAAGACATATCTTTAGAGTACTCATGAACCCTTCTGTTTTTTTCAAAATTTTATTAATGTTGAACAGATACTTATAGAATTAATTTTTTTAGAGACGTATATACGTATATATCTAAGTCTGTGTAGAAAAACTGCTTCTCTCATTCGAGTGTTCCGCTATTAAAAAAATATTTGTTTTCCATTTCTTTCATTGACAGAAGATAGGCCTCTCGATATTATAGCTTCATATACTTGTTTAATTAAATTTCACAAGACAAACAGACCTCGGTTGTGGGATGTTATTTTTAGACACATGAAATTAAGGTGAGATGATGGAAAATAAATTAAAAACAGAAGAATATTCTAGAAAACTAGAATTCTGCGATCTCAAATTTAAACAGATATCGATTGCAATCAAAATCAATCAAGAGTATAATGATGAGTAATATAGTTTTAGTTGGATTACACGGACACAAAAATGATAATAATGCAATTTGGAAGTGTTTAACCAGCAAAAGCTCTCAAAAATTCCATTAAAGTTCCCCCTAATACTAAAGAAAAACTATATTGTCCAAGACATGTTGGAGGTAAGGAAAGGAACGAATTATTTAACTGCAAGTATTTATTTGGCCGAGTTAATTCCCATATGCAGGTCTGATGTAAGAAACTAAAAAAAAAGGAAAATGCATATTCTTTATCGGATTATTTTTATATTAGTTGACAGTCGTTAAACAAAGCATTAAAGCTAGTTATTTAATAAATTATTTAGACGCTTAATGTATATGTACGTATAGAAGCAAGTCATTTCATTCCAGCCAGCTCCCCAGTGGCACAGCGGTATGTCTGTGGACTTACAACGCTAGAATCCGGGTTTCGATACCCGTGGTGGGCAGAGCACAGATAGCCCTTGTGTAGCTTTGTGCATAATTAAAAACAAACAAACAAACATTCCAGCCAAAGGCTGACGGGCTATTAGAAGGTTACGTACTCTCTTCAGCTACAAGATGTGACGAGTAAAGGTAGAAATTACGAAACGATGGGTGAATAAGAGAAAACTATAGAGCCTTAAGGCCAACAATAACTATTAAATGTCAGAATTTATTATGCCTGTTATGGAGTTAATGCCTTTTACTAACGAAGATGATGACAAATAATTATATTCTTTTCCCACCGGCCTGATGTCTTTCACAGCTAAATTAGGGACGGCTAGCGCAGATTGTCCTCGTGTAGCTTTGCGCGAAATTTAAAACAAACCAGTTCCAGTGCAGAGACCCCGTGATAACAAATAAACAATGTTTGGGTTAGTCAATCGGTGCAAAGATTCGTTGACGTCCATGCCTGTGATGCACCTCCATATTATTAGCAATTCCTTATTCATATTAATATATAAAAACTTGGCACAGAAAATTGTATAGCGTTTGCATTTGTTGTAATAGTAACATATTACTTATTAGAAGACTTTGATTTGATTTTTAACAGCTTTTGCAGTTGTTACTATATTGAGCAGAAATAAAGTTTATTTTTAAAACTAGAACATATCTATCCATCATCATAATTATGATCATATCACTATCCCGATGAACGAGCCTGGCATGGCTTGGTGATTAGGACGCTCGACACACAATCTACGGGTTGGAATAACCGTTACCTAACATGCTCTCGGCCGAGGGGGCGTGATAATGTGAAGGTCAATCCCACTATTCGTTCGCAAAAGAGTAGCCCAAGAGCTGGAAATGGTTAGTGTTAACCAGTTGTCTTCCCTCTAGTCTATCTCTGTTAGCGCCGATAGCTCTCAAAAACACACTAACACGCATACAATCATCCTGATGGCTCAGCGATACCGCTGAGAACTTATAACGCTAAAAATCGGGTTTCAATACTCATGTTGTGCACAGCACAGAAAGTCCATTGTCTATATAGTGGGATATCTTACAAGTTAACACGTTTCTTAAAAAAAAAAATGCTCAAGCAAAGCTACTGATTTTTAATAGTTGGTCAAAAGTAAATGATACCATTGGCGAAATAAGAATAAAGCCAAAATTATGATTAACTATAAAATTATGACAAAAAACACATCTTAAACGCATAATATTTGAAACATAATTAGTCAACAAACGACACCAATACGATATTTTAAACTGAGTTCAGTATAATTTTGTTACCACAAAACCTGATGCACTTCGCGTTGCTCACTTTTTTTTTCATATTTTGGATTTAGTTGAAAATATGTCATAAAACAATTTCCTCAAACAAATGGCCAGATGGAAAAACCCATTAATTACAATCAACGTTGGATTTGAGTTTTGCTTTATTGTTTCAGTAAAATTGGTTGGTGTTGGTTTACAATAAGGTTAAAAACAATAACTGAGTGATAAAAACGACTGGGTGACTTTTTTATCAATTGAAAACTTTTATAATATGCATCAGCCGATTCATTGAGAAAATGAAAAGTTCGTCGTCTTGTATAATTATCTCATACATTTTAGTTATTGTACTATGTAGAAGTCACTGGAGTGTTAATACCTGTACATCCGGATGTTTCTAGCATAATGTTTAGTAAACTCAATCAATCGGATATCGTAAAGAGTAAGTTGAACAATCCAATTCTAATCAATGTGCCTGTAAGTTACAAGATGACACCTGGTGACTACTTCTTCACTTTCCATTTTATGTATTTATTACTTTGATCTAGAGAATATTTGTCATTATTTTTCTAATAGTTAGATTTTTAATCGAGGCTGCTTAAAAGGAAGCTTTAACTGCTTTTGTTATGTTTAATATATTTTGTGAGTTGCTCTAATTACCATTTTCAGACAAATACGTAAAACAGTTTGTACAGTATATACAACTGTTTAATTGATGTAATTTATAACCTTGTTTCCATGTTATCATGTTAACAATTATAATCTATACTTAACATCAGAGAGTGCCGTTATCACTTTGGCTATTTCGACATATTTATAATACATCATTATAGCATAAAGGTAACATCCAAAATTATCAGGTCTTTCTTTTTCAAGTAACGAAGAAGTTACGTCACGAAAACTTAAGTGTTCATAATTAGAATGATATTCAACAGCGTGTACGAATATATGTATGTATATGTTTTAAGAAGCACGTTCCAATCACTTACCCCAAACTCCAAGTGCTGGCTTTTGGCAAAAGCTGTTGTAGATAAATATTGGCATTTTTGCTAGCATGCAGAAATCACTAATAGCGAGATTAACAACGAGGAAATTCGATGGTGTCCTTATAGTTTTGGTTCTGGAAAGAAAGGGTAAAAATATAATATTTATAATGGGACTATAGTTAAGAAAAATACGGAATACTGAGTTCAAGAATAAAAACAAATATACTGTTCAAAAAATGTAATTGATACACTGTTTAACATTCATTGTGTATTATTAGTTATAAAATGTCGAATAACAGTCTTTTCTTGTTAATAAACGTCACGTGGTGGCTCGTGCTTTAAGATCTTTTATTTGCCCAAAGATTAGAAGTATCAGTTAGTGTATTGATGGCAGCGGTTTCCCAGCGTTCGTTTCAACAGCACGATAATCTATAGCGGACTTGACCAGTAAGCTTTCGTTGGAACTTCCATGCACATTCGTTTCATTCTCCAGACAAATATCGGGATGTCATGGCAGCAGCTTGTGTATATCTGACGTGTGGCGCTTTTCCTGGGGCACTTGGTAGGCTTTTGCCACTGACTTTTGTATTCAGGGGTTCTCACCTGTTACAATACGCCGCACTTTGCTTATCTCTGCTGAGCTATTAGTTGTTGTAGGTGTTTTTGTGAATGGCCCTGGTGCCCTAAGTTGATCCACATTCCTATGTTTTCCAATGGCATTAAGCATAAGATATATCCCGTCTTGGTTATTCTAAGTTCAAATTACGAACACATCGGTATGGTTTAAGTGTTTGAATATTTTGCATCAAAAAGGGCTTACATACCCTTCCCAAAAGCGATCAACTTTCGGTAGCATTACTCTACTCACGAAACGACAAACAATGTTAAAGTGTAGTTCTGATACATGCCCTACCATCGCGACTTCATACCGGCTGGGGCTGTTACGTGAGTTGCCGATTCGAATATTTAAAACTGTTTTAATATAACGTACTCAACCCTCATTGTATACATTTTACATTCTGTGTATAACAAGCTTCATAAAATTTATAATTTTACATAGCATAATTAACTACTATATATATATTTGTTTTTATATATGTAACATTAAATGGCTATGATTATTTTGTTCCCATTAGAAATAAAATCGATAATTGTACAGATTCCAGTGGCACAACGGTAAATCTGAATGTTTATAACGCTAAAACCGGGTTTCGATACCCGTGGTTGACACAGCTCAGATAGCCTATTGCTTAACTAGAAACAAACAAAATCGATAATTGTACAGATTCCAGTGGCACAACGGTAAATCTGAATGTTTATAACGCTAAAACCGGGTTTCGATACCCGTGGTTGACACAGCACAGATAGCCTATTGCTTAACTAGAAACAAACAAATACATAAACTTCCTAGTGCAATGTAACAGAAAACGTACATATTTGGAGTTTGAAGTATTTTTGAATCACTCAACAATGCGGTATCGATTATTTAAAAGTATACCTAAAAATACAAAATATAATCCCGATTTTGAACGTAAAAGCTATACATTAGTAGCGAACCGTATAATCGTGCTCTCAGACAAACGTTTCCCCTTTAAGACACACAACTACAACGGTTTCAAACATTTTAAGTGACACGCCGAAGGCCCGGCATGGCACTCGACTCGCAATCTGAGGGTCGCGGGTTCGAATCCTTGTCACACCAAACATGCTCGCCCTTTCAGCCGTGGGGGCGTTGGAAAAAGAGTAGCCCAAGAGATGGCGGTGGGTGGTGATGACTAGCTGCCTTCCCTCTAGTCTTACACTGCTAAATTAGGGACGGCTAGCGCAGATAGCCCTCGTGTAGCTTTGCGCGAAATTCAAAAACAAACAAAGAAAACAAACAGACATGCCGAAACAGAATTAAGTTTAAAACACAAAAGACTAAAACCATTTTTTGACAACCAAATGGTTACAAGACCTGCAAATATAAATATGAATGTCAACGCATTTTCCATGAGTCATAGCATACACCAGGAGACAATAATCACATGAACACAGGTACCATCAGTACAAATGTAACAGCTGAATACCACGTGTTGCTATCGTAATGGTATTTAATCACCTACATGACTCAAAACTCAAAATACACAGTTGCTATTGAAGAAGATACTAAGCTGCATCGAAACGTTTGACAGATTTTTTAACCATTTGGTTTTAATAAAATTGTTTTAACCTTTTGCGTTTTAAATTTATTTTTTTTCACGTGTGAGTCGCTAAGAAGGTTTTAACTGTTATCTACCTAGGATGTTTAACTGTCATTTACATTGTAGTAGTTTAACACTGCAAATGAAAATATAGTAATCGATATTTTGAATGTGCAATGGTTAATATTAAATTTCAAATAAGAACACCTTTAATTCTGTAGCTTTACAGTTGATATAAATGCACTAAACAGGAGTGAGCGCAAACAAAAACAACTAAAGCCATCTTTAAAACACATACTTCAATAATTCTAAGTAGGTTTTAACATTTAAAAATATAAGGGTTATGGGTTTTTAACTGTATTTTATCATATTTTGTGACAGCTTTGTGTTCCAATTGAAAAATTCGTAACAAAGAATACATCTCTTTTGTGATTTAGATGTGCTACACGTGATAATTGGAATTCTATAGGATAAATTATATAGATTACTACATGTTTACCTTAACAACGTAAAAATAAAGTATGCAAAAATATATGCTTATCTTATCTGTTCCTAGTATTATTATATTTTATACATTGTCCCTGGTATTCTTATTTTGTGTATATGGTATCTAGTATAATTGTTTTGTAAGTGGTCCCTGGTATCATTGTTTTGTGTATATGGTCTATTGTTTTATTGCACTTTGTACATGGTCCAAAGCATTACAAATGGCATTGATAATTTCAGTCTGCAATACAACACAAGCACAAAACTGAGCAGAAATATTAATCAGTGCCTGGTAGTTTCAGCTATATACTACTAAAACTCTGAGATTGTTTGTTTTTTTGATCGCCTGTAATTAAATACAGCAAAAACTGCACACAATAGCGACATATTTGCAAAATACGGTACCACTGAAATGAGAATAGAAACAAAATAAAACAGGTTTCATTAAAATCGGGCCACGGGTTACCGAGTT